ATCGCCCTCAAGGGCGGCAAGAAGCAGCTGCAGAAGCTGGAGGCCCGGGTGCGGGAGCTGGAGAACGAGCTGGAGGCCGAGCAGAAGCGCAACGCAGAGTCGATCAAGGGCATGAGGAAGAGTGAGCGTCGCATCAAGGAGCTCACCTACCAGGTGCGGGCATGGGGGCTGCTCTGGGGGGCAGGAAAGAATGAATGTGAAAGCGCTTCCCCTGCCTCACTTCCCAACTCACACGGGCCCCAGGCACAGCCACTGTCCAGGTGTGCCACTCAACCCCCTGGCACCTACTTCTTGAGATGCTGTCTTTGGATTAATTTTCTTGCACATTCCCTGGGGTCTGTTTGGCTTGAGTCCTTGATTTTTTCTGGTGAGTGGAGAACCTACCTCTACCTCCTGAAATCTCTTTTAACCAGCATTTCCTTGGGTTTTCTTGTTTTGTTTTGTTTTAAGAACCCAAAGTGCTACCATGAAGGCTTTTGCACTGTCCATGGAATCTTTCTGCCAGCCCAAGAGGGAAGGACATAGTATGGCACTTTCGGAATAAGAGACTCAGATATTCCAGGGAACTTGTGGGACCTTAGATAAAGATGATCCCAAAATGTTCTAAGACCTGCACCTTTGTAACTCAGAGCTTTTGCCCTTGACCTGTTATTTTCCCAGTGCACCTGGGAAGAAAGGGCAGGGAAAGGAGGTATTGGTCCATTTGATGGCAGAATATGAGAGGCCTGAGAAAGAGATACAGCTGGGGAGAACAGCAGGTGAACTGTGTACATAAGTGGGAGTGGCACCCTAGCCCGTGTAATGATGAGGAGCTAGACATGGTCAGGTGACATTAGAGCCAGTGATCCTGGTGCCCAAATCTGCCCAGTACAGTATATATATGATAGGTGAGAATGGTCTGACTATGACAGTACCCCCTTCATCCCGTGCTCCTCATTTGTCCTCTCGGCTCACTCTCAGACCACTGGCTGAGAGCATCTACGGGACTCCAGGCTGGAACTGGAGGAACCCCGATGCCCCCATATTTTTGGATGAAGGAATTCCATTTGGTTAGGAGCCCCTTGCCCCACTTCCAGCTTTAGGGCACAGCCCACTTTGCTTTCTAGATCCAGACTGAGCACCTTTCCTTGGCCCTTTGACCTACAAGTCAAGGCAGAGATGGAATCCCCCAGGCCCCCTCTTTGACCTGGCCCATCGGAGGGATGGAGGGACAGCTAAGGCCTGGGGAGAACAGTGACATATTGAGGGAGGGAACAATGATTGTCCTTGCTCCTCCCCCAAATTGGCTTCTCCCATCCATCTACCCCCAGACAGAGGAGGACAAGAAGAACCTGCTGCGGCTGCAGGACCTGGTGGACAAGCTGCAGCTGAAGGTCAAGGCCTACAAGCGCCAGGCGGAGGAGGCGGTGAGTTCATAGTTTTCTCCACTCTCCCTCCACACACCTCCCTGTGTGAGAATCGATGGGCCTCAGTCCCAGCATGGGGACTAGACGTTTCACGTGTCCCGTGTGCTGAGCTGGAGCAGGCACTCTGAGCAAGCAAAGGCAATGCTTACAGCCTGCTTATAATCCATACTCCGGTAGACCTGACAGAAGACAGTATAACTGCTAAGCAGGCCACAGGGCCACATGGTGCTGGAGGCTGGAAGGTGGCCGGTGAACTGGGCCCAGGAGAAGACTTGGCCATAGGGCAGTGGGGAAGACTCTGGGTAGGCCGTAAAGTGTGAAAGTGAGGTGTTGATGAACACACGTGGGCAGGAAACCCGGGAGCTGGGAGCAGCAGAGTCAGAGCTGGGCAGGTGCAAGTGAAGCTCGGTTCGGAATGGGACTGACCAGGCAGCATGTCATTCATCTCAGGCAGTGGGTGGCTATTCGGGATTCTGGGCAAGTTGAGGAAGGTGCCAAGCCAGGAACAGGAGACTTTTGGCAAGGCTGTTGCAGGGACATAGTTGAGGGATGAGAGCGCTGGGCTCCTGGCTCAGGGACAGGGAATCCCTCAGACTGGGAGGCTGGGGGTTTCCAGCCCCCCCAACCTACCCCGCTGCATCTCACCTCCTCCTCCCCGTCCCTGGACCCCCGCAGGAGGAGCAGGCCAACACCAACCTGTCCAAGTTCCGCAAGGTGCAGCACGAGCTGGATGAGGCCGAGGAGCGGGCAGACATCGCTGAGTCCCAGGTCAACAAGCTGCGGGCCAAGAGCCGCGACATCGGCGCCAAGGTGGGTCCGTTGGCTGGGCCTCACTAGTTGCCATGTCAGCACACCTGCCACTATCAGTGCCCCTCAGGATGGGCACTCCTTAGCCTATATTATGGCGGACTTGGGGGGTGTCCCACAACATCCATACCTGAGAAACCCCTTCCTGGTCAAAGCAGCCCATATAGACTGAAACCTCGGAAGAAAGCTTGGCCCCCCCAACAAAGTACAAAGACCGCTAAGTGAGCCCCAAGGTCCCTGAGGCCAGAACGTCGCCCTCTCAAGGCAGCCCCCTGAGGCCCCAGAAAGCCCTAGAGATTCCTCCCCACACCCTCCTTCCCTCTTGCCAGCTGCCCCCTTACACCTTTTATTCCTTTCTCAGCAAAAACTGCTCGAAGAGGAGTGACACTGCATCAGGAACCTCCCTCTTGACAGCCTGGAATAAACATGAATGCCAGACTCTGCCTGCACCCCTTCCTTCCCGCCGCCGCTACTGCCAAGAGCTCTTAGAGCTCCCAAATGGAGGGAGGCCCTGTCCTTGTGTCAGAGCTGTGGGAGCCAAGGCTTTCCACATCTTTCCACATCTACAGAGGAGGCAGCCAAGGCCCAGAGAAGTGAGGTCAGAAGGAGAGAAAACAAAGGTACCGGCATGGTGAACCAATTCTGTGTGCAGAGAGATAGGAATTTTGTGTGGAAGCCAAAGATCCCCTCCACATACCCCAGCTGTGGGCTGCAGGGGTTAAAGTTGTCCTGGGACACCCGTTCCCTCCCAGATGAACTTCCCACTGATACCACGAGAGGCTCCAGGCTCCCTGGGGGTGGAGGTTCATAAAGGGGTTGACACAGGTCCCATTCTGGCCGACCCACAGGGAGCCCCAGGCCCCTTCGGCTGAGGCCCATGTGTGAGCTCGGCCTCTGTGGTCATGCCTCACCTCGAGGGGAATCCTGGGATGTTGAGGCCAGCTGACACTAAGCCTGAGTCAACAGGCACTGTGGACCAGAGCCGAGCATTGCTTCATTTTGGCCCCTCACAGAGGCACAGATGGGCATGGGTGTATGAGCAGGTACACGCTGTAGATCACACCCCCGCTCTCCCTGAGGACCCACCAGGGACAGTCTCGTCCAGGTCATACTCCTGCCCAGGGGACAGGGCTTGTCCCGGCCCCATTCTGCTCCAGACAAATCCCTGCCCCCTGCTGGGCTTTACAGCCCAGTTCTCCTAACCACTTTCTCATCCCTGCATCTGGTATCCCCATCTCGTAAACGGTGTTAGGTAAGCCCCTGCTATGCCTCCCTGAAAGGCTTGGGGTGGCCAATCAGTGCCTAGAGCCCTGAGCATGTGAGCAGAAACCCAGAAAAACACAAAATCCCATTGGTTCTAACCCTGGGGAGGCTGCCTGTGCTCATGAGGAGCCCCAGACACAAGGACAGGAAAGCTGGAGAAGTCAGACTGAGGCAGGCCCACGACTACCACCTAGGGAAGAGGAGCAGCTCTACTGAAGTTCCAGGGTTCAGGCAGGTCTTGGGGGCCAGGGCCTGCCTCTGGAAGGAGCACCCCAGAAAAAAGGAAGATATTTCAGAGCAGGAGCAAACCAGCATTAGAGGGATAGCAAGCCAGCTTGTATGAGCTGCTGGGTTAGGCCATGTGGTTGAGCAGGGACATCCCTAGTACCCTGGCTGTCATGGGCCAGGCAGGGCTGATTCCTGGCCTGTAGCAGTGTCTGTTCTCCAAAAAACCCCAGCCCAACCCAACCCTCCCCTAGCATTTGCTGTGGGCAGTTAGGACCATCCTTCACTAGCCTGTCACCTTCCCTGGCTATGAATGCCCAAGGACAGGCCCTCCTGTCATCTGTGAATCCTCCAGGGCCCAGCAGAGGGTCTATAGGCAGGAGACGCTCAGGAAATGTTTGCTTGCTGGCAAGCTGGGAGAGCGGACCCGCTGGTGAAGGGAGCTGGAGATGAGGCTGGGCCATTTATTTTCTGAGCTGCCGGGAGTTCTGTACCATATCCTGATCACCTGTATAGGTGTTAGGCAAGCTAGGTTCTTGTCCCAGCTCTGTCACAAGTGAACAAGTCATTTCCTGTAACTGGGCTTGTTTCCTCTTATGTGAAATGAGGGCATTGGACCTGCTGATATCTAAGAGCTCTTCCAGAGCCAGCATCTGGAGGGGTTTTGCCCTCATCTGGTGCCACAGGCTGACCTCTTTCCTGTGGCCTTCGGGCCAAGTCCTCCCCACACCACAAGGGGGAGCTCTAAACACGCCCCAGGCAAGCACCTGGTTCCAAACCCCTAAGAAACCTGTGTGCACAGGTGCTGCTGGTGGGCACTCAGGTGGAGAAGGCTTGAGCCTTCTCAGACACAGGACTCTGGGAGCCCAGCCAGCAGGCCCACCACAAAGCAGCCTGGCACACAGAGATCGTGGAGAGGAAGTTTGGTGCGGAAGGAAGTCTTCAGCACCTTCAGTCCAGTCCTACTTCCTCATGGCTCAGACCTGGTTGCAGAGAAGGGACCATGACCTGCTCCAGGCAGCTTTTTTGTGACTACTCCCTGGTTTTCCTGATCTGCCTAATTCCTGGGGAAGAAAAAGACACCAGTAGGATTCGAATCTTTTTATTTGGGAATGATCAGCTTCTTCCTGCTCTCCCTCCCCAAAACACCACCTTCCCGGTAGAGCTTCATTGGGAGTCAGATCTCGGAGCACTGAGCCCCACAGACAAATCCCTGGTGACTTCTAAGGCCAGACTCCATCCCTGAAGGCCTGGATGGGGGACATTAGGCTGCAGGCTAGGGAATCCAAAGGATCCAAAGGGCTGCTCTGTTCCTTTTGTCTGGCTGGGCCCAGGAGCCAGTTAGCTCAGGGTCACTGCTGGTCCTCTATGAATATGGAGCCAGGAAGGGAAGGCATGTCAGGATCGGGCATCTGGGGCACAGGGTGGGAGGGGGCACGTCCTTTCCCCATGGCACAGACACTCACCCTGGGTGGTCCTGGGAACCATCTCAGTCCGGTAGATCTTGAAAGCATCGTAGGCAAAGACGGAAACCAGGATGATGCCAAACACCTGTGGGAGTAGGTGTGTAGGAGCTGGGATGACACAGAGAAAGCCGCTGGCCATCACATACAAGGGAGAGGGAGGTGGGCGGGATGGGGCACCGTGTGAACCAGAGCCCAGGGCCCCAGCTTGGGCTTGTGGGGAGGCACCAACAGTGTGCAAACACCAGCCAGGGGTCCCAAGGGCCTGGGGAGCTCTGTAGGGCTGGACTCACAAAAGCAGCAATGGCAGCTCCATCCCGGGAGGTCACAGCTGCAAAGGAGACCACCAGGAAGATGATGATGGCACTGACACAGCGGAGGAAGTCCTGGGGGATGAGGGGGGGGCAGGGTCAAAGGGAAGTCGGAGGGCAAGAGAACATCATCCTGAGGTTTTCCAGGCTAGGCAGTGACTTCACCCTCAGGCACTGTGAATCCCTGCATGGAGAGACCCCTGGGCACAATATGAAGCACTTGCAAGAGCTAGAGATCGCGAGTGAGCCAGGGAAGGGATGCAGGTGAATGCAGAGTGGCCAGGACTAGGAGCCAGGACCCTGGGCCAGGGGGAGGTGGGTAAGGCTAGGGCAGGCCGACCAGGGGGGCCAGGGCATGGCCGGGGCTGGGGTGGGAGCTTCGGTGAGCGGGAGAGCAGCTCTAAGTGATTGTGTAGGAGCTGGGCCCCGTACTGACCCAGGGAAAGGAGAGAGGCTGGGAGGGAAAAGGGAAATTTCACCTTCAAGAAGTTAAGGGACCAGAATGTGGTGGGGCAGAGTCCCTCACCAGACAGGGCCAGTTCAGCCGATCGAAGCGCAGGTAGTACTGGGTGGCGTAGAGGAAGAGGAAGGCGAGCGTGATGAAGAACTCCAGCAGCGCTGCGGCCATGTAGGCGGAGATGGAGGCCGTGAAGCAGATGAAGATGACGAAGGTCAGGGCCTGCAGGACCCGGGGTGTGAAGCTTGCCAGGAAGGGGACACAGGCCTAGCCAGATTTTTTTGCCTTCCTCTCCTCGGAAACTCCCTCAGGCTGCCCCCAACACCCATTCTTGCCGGTCTACCCACCCCTGGTAGCAGGAGCCGCACTCCAGGGCGCTGGCCCCTCGAGGGCAGTCTCCAGCTTCCCAACTCCCCCTGTCCAGGACCCCAGCAGTTTGACCAAGCTGCACCCCTCCAGGGGGCACCATTCTATGGAACCCACAGAAGAGGTGTCCTGCTGAAAGCCCAGGGTACAGGGTGCACACCAGCCCGTCCGGTTCCACACCAAGAGACAAGATTTAGAAGACAGTAGTTCCATAGTGGACTCTAAGGGTCCCTTCAGCTCTGGCGATGTCGCTGACACATACACACGGACTTAGGATGACACTCAGGTCTTGCTAAGTGACAGGGGAAGATCCTGCCCTGAGAACAGGTGTTCACGGGGAGCAGACGCAGATAAAGTCTTGTTCTAACTTCAGCTCTTCCTGCAGCCGCTGAAGCTGCTGTAAGGGCCTTCAGAGGGAGAGGCAGCCAGAGGGCGGGTGGAGGAGGAGGTCAGGGTAGCTGGGGCAGGAGTGGTGTCCAGAGAGCCCCGGAAAGGAGACCACCCAAGGGGTGAGCCCAGTGAGGGCACTGAGCAGGGAGAGGGGGGAGTGAGATCATACTGGGAGAGATGGAGGCGCCAGGTCGGGGAGGTGGCTGTTACCAGCTCGGTTTCCAGCAGGATGCCTTTGAGGGAGGAGAGGAAAGTCTTGTCCACAGCGAAGCCCTGGAGCCCCGCAGCTGCCCCCTCCGCAGGGAGCCCATCCCGGCGATCCCGAGCACTGAGCATCTCCGTGGGGCCCACCAGGCACAGCCCCCACTGCCACCGGCCTGAGAAGGGAACTGGGAAAACAGAAACCTGGAGAGATGGGGAAGCAAACAGAAGCAGGGAGGCACTTGGAGAAACCTGCAAGAGAATCGGGGAGGTCGGCCGAGGGGCCGCCAAGGAGCCTCGCCCAGCCAGATGGGCCTTCTCCCAGCTGCCCAGAGTGCCCCTGCTGGTGCCTGCACCGCCCGCCCCCACCCCGGGAAGCACATGGGGGGGGCAGGGGAGGGGCGGAGAGGAGTGGTCAGCCCTCTGGTTGCTAGAGCCCAACCCGGCCTAGAGAAGGAGAGCAGGGAGGAGGGGGGAAAGGAGGAAGTCCACACAGAAACTGGGAGGAGCTGGGAGGTAAGCTGAGAATCTGAGCTAGACCAGGAGCCCCCCAAGGACCCAAGCCTGAAGAAGTTTACATCCCCCTCCCCTAATTCCCCTCTTTCTGGCTGTCCTTTTCCCCTTTTCCTTTTAGGGAGGGTGGGAGCTGGAGCCCGGCCCAGGCAGCACCCCCCTGGCCCAGGCTGTAGCAGCCAAGAGTGAGGACAAAGGCAGATTGTTGGGGGGACAAGGTGGCGCTGTGTGCCTGCTGTAGTGCCTCAATGGGCCTCTGTCTCTTCAGCATGCCAGGAGGGCAGTCTGACCCCCACCCCAGTGCTCAGGGGTAGGCCAGGGAGCCAGAGAAGGGGAGGGACGGGAGGCCACAGTGGAAACTCTGGAAGGCAGAAGGACAGGGTAATAGGTAAGATCTGACCATGGGGAAGAGAAGGGGCCAGGCTGGGGAGCCTGGTGTTCAGGCACTGGGGACTCCAAGATAAATTTAGACCATTTTGAATACAGATTATTTATTTGGGTAAGTCTCTCCATGCTCAATAACAGCCTCTTCCTCAGAGCCTAGTAACTGCACCAAGGTATGTGCAAAGTAGATGTCACAAAGTAGATGTCCACTGACGGACGGGTGGATGGATGGACGGACAGATGGACAGATGGATGAACACATGAAATGATGGGCTCTCCATTGGCAAAGGGGAAAGGAGCAAGAAAGTGCTTGTGCCGTGCCAGGGCAGCTGGGGATGGGAGAAAAGGAAGAGACAGGTGGTCTCTGGAGCCTTAAAGACTTTTCCCAAGAGGAAATGCTAGGAGGTCCTCTTCCCGTGGCCGTAGCTTCTCTGCTGCTTCGCCCCGCCGTTCCTATCCACTCTAAAAAGTGAAATGTGCAGTTCCCCCTGAAAGTCCCCGATCCTGTCCCACAGTCTTGCTGCTCCAAGTAGTTCTTTGGAGGGGCTGAGCACTCAGGCATTCTGGCTCGCCATGGCGGGTGGTCCGACCGGGAACCGGGCACAGGCAGCACGACTAGGCCATCACTCGTGGCCGCACACACACACAAGCCAAGGAGACCTGATAGAGCCGCTGCTCCAGGCAGTAGCCATCCTGGGCACCTTGCTCGCCGGGACACGGCCTCCGGTAGAAGACGGTCTGGTTGTGGTAGAGCAACTCCGAGTTGCCCAGGGGGTCCATGTGGGAGCCCGTCTGGAGGCTGACGCAGTGTGGACACAGGCAGCGGGCGTGGTACAGGTCCTGGGGGAGCCGGTTCAAGTCCCGGTCCAACCTGTGGAGGAGGCACTGGTCAGACTCTGGAGGGAGGCTGGCGGGGCAGGCAGGCAGGGGATGGGGCCGGGGAGGGGCTAGGGTGGGACGCCCCGTCTCAGGTTTTACCCTCCCCCCCACTCAGCTCTTGTACCCACTTGCTGAGTGACTTTCAACAAGTCACCCCCTCCTCTCTGGGATTTATTTTGCCCCACCGGTAGAGAGGGGCAGGGAAGGAGGGGTGGTTTTCTGGTCCCGGAGCCATGTGGAGGCCCCCCAGACAAGCTCTGCTTCCATCTCATGTACATCCGGCATGAGGTTACTTTTTGTAATTGTTACTACATTTTAAGGACTTTTAAAAATTATTATTATAAAGTAAAAACCGCTCTTATATCCAAGTATGAAACACTGTAAAGTGAAGACAGTCAGTCTCTCTACCAGTCCCTCTCCCCAGAGGGAGCCGCTGTCGACCAGTGCCTGCATATCCTTCCAGACACTTTCCTGCATCTACTATAAGCACATGTAAGTATGCATGGTAAGATTTATTTATTTATTCTGAAAGGGTTTTGTGGCCAAAACAAGACTCGAAATGTAGACGCTCCAAAGGTCTGGACCTCCCAAAGGCTAGCAGGAAACAGCATCTGGGTTCCAAGACCGTTCTCCATGCAGACAAGCCCTCACGAGCTGGGGCTCGGCTAGAGCCGCCTTTCCCAGGGTGGGTTCCCTAATAAGTACTCTACAAGAAAAGGGGCCTGGGGCCAAATGAGTTTGGGAAATGCTGAATTTACAGTTTCTCTCCTGAGGATTTCTTGCAACTTTGAACATGCTGAGTACATTATGAATCTCTGAGGTGTGAGGGCTGCATCAGGTGTCCCACACTTAACTGTCATCACTTTTTTCTGAGGAGCAGCCTGTGGGACGAGTATGGCAAAGAACACTTTGCGGGAAGATCAGCCAAGTAGTCATCAGGGGCTCATGGCCTCCAAATGAGGGTCTGGACCCCAGCCAGGTCAGCCCTCTGGCACCCAGCCTCCCCAGAGGGGCTCCCCGCCTCGTTGGATTTAGCCCGGGACCCAGCCAGACTTCTGAGACCACCTCAAAGCATGATGACCTGGAGTCTCTACCAGGGATCTGGTCTCACCCAAAGCTGACCTTCTCCCTACCCACCGAAATTGTCCACCATCCCCAAAGCCAAGGACGAGCCAGAATTAGACTTACTAAGAATGCGAACACAGGCACCCCAAGAAGACACAAGACAAGGATCCCTAAGGCTCTAATTTTTAATATTTTGTGTCATTGTCCCAATTTCACTGCTTCCTAATACGTGTTACATCATGGCACCAAGAGAGAATTTTAGGATTTGTGTGGCACACTGAATAGAAGAGTAAGACTGCCCATAACCAAAGAAAACCAGCCCAGGGTTCTGGCTACCCTCAGAGCGGAAGGTTTCACTAACTTGGTACACTTACAGCCCCCCTAGGGACCGGGTCACTTGTAGTGGGTATTGGGGTGCTTCATGCCTTTTTCATACCCTCATTTCCTGATATTTCAGTTAGAAAAACGTGTTCCATTGTAGGGACAGAAGAGGAAGGAGGAGGAGATGGGGGAGGAGGAGGGGTAGAAGAAGAGAGGAAAAGGAGAGAACCAACCTTTCCTGTAGTAAGTACAGATTTTACACACATTATTTCATCAGATCTGCACCTGGGGGGTGCATCTGGCCTGGGGGGTCTTACGTCATTTTACAGACATTGGCCTGGGGTGAGGGATGGTGTCTTACATCATTTTACAGATGAAAAAAAAAAACAGCTTTGAAACCTTGAGAAAGTAGCTCAAAGTCACCCACTAAGAGTGGGAGCTAGCCAGACTAGGCCTTGCCTGAAGCCTCTACCTTTATGGCCTCTCTGAGATAAAAGGGGGTGTGGGCCGGCTGGACTTGGATGGAACCCCTCCCCCAAGCCCTTCCCATACACCCTGATGGCCCACGTGCTGGCATTTGCGAGGGGGCAGCAGACTCACTCATATCTCCAGGGAGAGATAGACCTGCTGTTGAGGGGTCCATCTTCACTGGCCCTGCAGGATTCTGGGTGGTGGGTGAGGCCCGTGGCCTCTCGGGGGAACCTGAGCACAGTGTTCCCCTTCAGCCACTCATGAGCGGGGTCCTGCCTTTTGCCGGGGCAGCAGCTGGGCCAGTGGGCGCAGTCCTTCCGGATGCGAAAATTGAGGCTGTGGGTTCCCATGGCCATGACCAAGAACACGATCACCTACAGGAAAAGGCCAGTGAGAGAACTGCTCTCAAACAATCAGGGTGCTCCCTTCCCAGCTGTTCCCTAAGAGCTCCACCTGGCCCCCAGCCCCAGCCCCAGCCCTGGAGCCTGGCCTCTCTCCACCCTCAGCGCCGTCTCAGCACCTGTGCGGCCCCTTCACACTCACCTGGTTCATGTCTGATGCTGCTCGCCCAGCCACAGTGCGGCACTGGTTGACGGGTGGGGCCTTGTGGAAGCAGGCTGACTGGAGCGGCTGTGGCGTCCTGGTTTTATTTTCAGCAAACCTGTTTTGTTTATTCAAATTTATTTCCACGACCTTTTGGAGGGAGTGACCTGACATTAAAAAACAAAACAAAACAAAAAAAACCCTGAAAGTGTTTCCAAAAGCTGCTCAAATGTTATATTCATGGAAGTTGTAGTTCACATCACAACTTGGGAGCCTATTGGGGAAAATCTGTTCTTTGCACCTTTCTGGGTGTGGGGTCAAAGTAATAGTACTCTGCCATTCTGGGCACTGGAGAACTGGTGTTATGGGAATTCCCCTGGTTGGCTTGGTACCCCAAATTAGGGAACATCATCTGGTCTGTCTTCAAGAGGCATCATTCCCATGCCCTCATCCAGGGCCTTGTCTCTGCCATTCCCTTTCTTCCCAGACAGCCATCTGGTCACCCACCTTAACGAACATTTCCCTCTATCTCCTTTGACCCTCAACCCTTCTGTTCTCTGACCCCTTTCTTGCTTTCGAACATCTAGGACCCCCATCACCTAAGGCATCTTTCTCATTGTCCGTTACCCACTTCCCCTCACCCACTCCAGTGGCTGCTCCATGCCCCATCCCACCCTGTCCTGATCTCCTCTGGGCCAGGGATGCAGGCCTAACCCCACAGGACTGCCTGGAATGCCTTGACCCCATCAGTTTGTCAGTTGGACGTATAGGGTCTAATGGAAGAAGATGTGGGTGGTTGCTTCCATTGCATAAATGATGTGAAGCCAGGAAGGGGAAGGGCTTGGTTGTTAACAGCCTCACCTGTGGCCCAGCAGGAGATCCCAGTTCCAGAACGGACCTGCCCCTAACCCCACTCCCAAGGCACTGGGGACAAGGGCCGGCTGTAGCAGGTAGCTGCCCATCTAGGGTCATGGGGCAAGTCCACCCAAGCTCAGCCCCGCCCCCAGCTCCATGGGCCACTGTCGGCCAGGAGGGGGCATACATGCTCAGAAGTACTTTAACTAGGCCTGACCCCGAAGACATGAGTCAGCCTGGGGTCACCCCTCCCGGGAGACACAGTGCTGAAAGCAGGCCACCTACTTCCCTCCAAGCCTTTCCTCTCAATCCTTGCCCATCCATCCCCCTCATCCCCCACACCCACGACCCACCCTCCCCAACACACTCATACACAGACATGGTCTCTAGAATGATGTTTTCTGATTTGCATGTGCTTTCCCTTAGAAAATACTCCTCTAGTAACCAAGGACTCAGAAAATAAACAAAGGGACCCAGGAATAAGTTAAACTGCAGAATGAGGAGGAATCCTTCAAATGCTGTAGGGCAAAGCAGCCCCAGAGCGGAGGAGTGATGAGATCAGGTTGGGGGGGTAGGTCTGGAGAATTGGAGAAGCTGTTCTGGTGGGTTTGAGGAAACCTGGAACTGGGGGTGAAGTGGGGGTTTAGGGGAAACAGGTGGTGGCTGGGGGAGCAGGAGTTCTTAGGAAAAGCACTGAGGTGAGGAACACATCACCCACTCCCATCGCCCTGCTGTCTGCCCTATGCTCCCCCACACCCTCTAGCTTCTGTGTGCCATGGGACCTCGGTTCCTGGGGGTCACATGCCAGGATAGGGCCAGGCCCTGTACTTTCAGCAGCTCATTTTATCCTTACAACGAAACAATGAGATGGAAACTAGTATCCCCATATTACAGATGACACAACTAAGACCCAAAGAAATTTAATAACCTACCCAAGGTTGTATAGTTAGGGACAGAGCTGGCTTTTTACCCCAGCCCTGACCGGTTCCAAATCTAACCAGGAGCCACAGAAGCCACACTGGGCTGACCCCTAGTCAGCTGCAAATGGAAGAAAGGCCCTCCCCCTCCTCACTATCCATCTGTGCTTTCCTGCTTACCCAGGCTTGGGTCAGGACAGGTCTCACCTGAACCTGCCAGAGGCCGGGGACATTCCTGTCCGCTTGGGCACTCAGCCCTGCTGGAGGGGACCCACCGCTCTAGTTCCATATTCCCCATGCCTGGCACATGGCTTTTGGGGGTTCTGGAGAAACCCTTAACCCCAGAAAAGGCTGTGAGGGGCCACTGCTCTTCCACAAGAGCTGGATCCCTGTGGGAGCCCCCCAAACCAATGAGAGCCTCAAAGATTCACATTGACCCAGATCTTCCCATCTTGGCCCTGTCCAGGAGGGGGTGCTTGAAAGAGCTGGCAGTGATCCCAGCTGCTTGTTGATGCTGCCAGAGACCCACACTGCCCTTCAGTAGAGGACTTTGGGGTGTCCTCTTCCCTCTGTACCAAGACATCCTGAAGAAAGCCCTATGAGGCAGAGGGAAGGCCCCTGCGAGCACACAGTTGCCCCCGGGGCTGGCCTTTCCCCCATTATGGTGATCGGCTCTGACCTGAGAACCTGGGCTCTGAGTCACATGCACCCCACCCCTCCGGTTTGCTCAGCCTCTGTCCTTATCTCCTCGCCGCTCTGTGGGATTCCTTTGGGTGATTCCCTGCCATGAGAAACATTTTCCAGAGGATTTTCCTCCTGGGGGAACTAGTTTTGGAATCCCTGAGTCATTTCAGCTTCCAGGGAATCCTTGGGAGCGTGGGGAGATAGGGGTGACAATGGGAAGAACGCAGAAGGCGGAAGCATAGGAAAGTTCACCTCACACCTGTCCTCACTTGCCTGGGCATGGCCCCACAGCCAGAGGGGCCTGACAGAGCCCCTGGGAGGAGGGATCAGCACCCAGCAGGGCAGGGCAGGGGAGATGGGATGGAAAGTATCCCCACCATGAGGCCCTGGGGGCTTTCAAGAAGCTAGAATGTGGCTGTCCTGCCCTTCCACAGAAAGACAGCCCAGTCCTCCCCAGCTGCCTTGAAGTCCTACCCCTGCCTCTGGTCATTTCTTGACCTTGGGCCCTCTCTGGACCTTTCTCCTCCTTTGTAGACATGCTTGTGGTTATTTTGGTTTTGCTTTGTTTTTCGGTTTTGAGAGGGTAACCTGGTTGACCACAAAAGCACCAACAAGCTCAGCCACTCTGGACCTCAGCTACCACTGAAACCACAGGACTCAGCAGGGTCTTCACAAGCCTGTTGGCACATGCCTGATGGGAAGGCCCCGCACCAGCAGTTAAAATGCTGAAACACTTCTCTCCCCACCGGTAAATCCATACATACTGTCCTCGGCCCTGGGGGCCACCTCCTGGATCACAAGCTGCCTGTGAGCCAGCAATGGGGCCCTCTAGAGTACTGCTCCAGCGCCCTGATTAGTTAGCGATAATGGTACTGGTGGTTTGTTATTTGTAGTATCACCTGTAGTTATGAAGATGCTTAGGCTTGGGAGCCTGCCTTCAAAGAGAACCTTGTGTGGGGCGCCTGCGTGGCTCAGTCAGTTAAGTGTCTGACTCTTGGTTTCAGCTCAGGTCATGATCTCCCCGGGGATCTTGAGATCAAGCCCCATGTCAGGTTCCACACTCAGCGGGGAGTCTGCTTGAGATTCTTTTCCTTTCCCTGCCCCCCCCAAATAAATAACCGAGTCTTTAAGAAATAAAGGGAATTGGGGCGCCTGGGTGGCTCAGTGAGGGTAAAGCCTCTGCCTTCGGCTCAGGGTACTGGGATGGAGCCCTACGTCAGGCTCTCTGCTCCGCAGGGAGCCTGCTTCCTCCCCTCTCTTTGCCTGCCTCTCTGCCTACTTGTGATCTCTCTCTGTCAAATAAATAAATAAAATCTTTAAAAAAAAAAAAAGAAAGGGAATTAAAAAAAAAAAAGGAATAAGAGAGAAACTTGTCTGGCCTGGGAGACACATAGAAAATCTGGGTGCACTGGGCAAATAGCCCCACAACTCTCTCCCCTCAGCCCAGTGCTGGTGGCACCCATGGAAGCCCTGGGTTTACTCAGATTTGTCCTAGGGTCACAGCTGCCCTGTTCCTTCATCCACTCAGCTGGTAGTTACTGAGTGCCAGTAGAGGCCAGGCACTATTCTGAATGCTACAAGGACAGAGGAGGACAAGCCAGATAAGATCTCTGCCTCGTGAAGCTTACGTTTTAGGAGACAGATGATAAACAAGGAAACCAGATCACGTCTGATAATCGTTAGTGCTATGAAGAAAACGCAACAGTGTTCTGAGATAGGAGGCTGAGGGGACTGGAAGGAGGGTGCCGCTCGGACTTAGAAAGCCAGGGAAGGCCTTTCTGAGGGTGAGGAATTTGACATGACGATGGAAAGCAGGTGGAGGAAGAGTGGTCTAGACAGAGGCAGCAGGACAGACAGAGTCCTAGAGGTGGGAAAGAGCTGGAAGTATCTGAGAGCCAGAAAGGACAATGTGGGTGGAAAACAAAGGATAGGGGAGAGCGGGATGAGATAAAGTAACAAGGTGGGCAGTGGCCAGATCACAGAGGGTCTTACTGGTTGTGACAGAGCGTTTGGACTTTATTTCAAGGTCCTGACTGAATTCAAGCATGGTCTATGTGATGTGAGTTTCTCAAGGACACACACTGCGTCTTTGACCTACGGCTGCCTCCATGGGGCTGGCCTCAAATAGCAATAATAATAGTTGCTTTTATCCAACATTTAACAGCAGGGCAAGGCACTGTTCTCAGGAATCTCTTAATCTTCACAGGAAGCCTGATACTATTGATTTCATTATTATCCCCACTTTACAGACAGGGAACCAGAGGCTCCAAGAGGTCTTGCCAAGTTCACTAAAAATGTTGAAACAGGATTAGAACTCAGGCAATCTGGTTGCTGTGGGGTCCCAAGAGAGAAGAACTGGAAGAAGCCCTGAGTACCTGCGTTTTGAGGAGCACGAGGAGCAAGAATAGTCATGATAAGGGATGGGAGAAACCAGCAGTTGGCCCTGCTGGGAAGCGGGGAGAATTTGGGGCCCAGAAAGCCAGATGGAAGGGTTCCTTCCCTGTTACCCTTGGGATATGGCCCAGGCAAGCCCTCAAGTGGAGGGCCCAGCTACTTGAGGCAGCCGCCCACTGCCCACCGCCCAGCCTG